TAGAAGACCTGTGAGAGGACAACAGGCTATACTTATAAGTTTCTGATTTACGAGGGAAAAGATAGTCATGTGGAGCCCACCAGATGCCCAGACTACATGGGGAGCAGTGGCAAGATAGTTTGGGACTTGGTGTCATCCTTTTTCCATATGGGGTACCACTTATACGTGGACAATTTTTATTCAAGTGTGCCACTATTTAGACATTTGTTCAATCTTGGAACTGGCGCTTGTGGCAAATTGTGACCTAATGTGTGCCCACCATTAGAAGTGGGTGGACACAGGGTGGTATATTCTAATGGTGGGCATACCACACACTTTTTCTGGCAGAGATTTCTTCTCATTTTTGTCATTCAGTCCACAGGCTGCATACAAAAAAAAAAAAGAAGAACATAGTATATATACCCAACAAGGACTAGCGACGCACTGGTACATCGCTGGACTTTGAATAGTTATACCAGGATGATGCCTACAGCTGCAGGCATCATCCTGGTATCGTTTTTTTTCAGCTGGAGATCGGCTTTCATGTAAGTGCATTACTAGTGGCTAATTAGCTGCAGGATTGCTTTTACAAGCAGTGGGAGGTGATGCCCCCCCTCCCCCGCTGCCTTCCACGGCCTTCTCGGGCAGTCTTGTGCCATCGGGGGAACCTGAGAATGCAGCTGGTGTTTCTGCCAGCTGACCATAGAGCTGATTGGAGACCAGAATGGTGCCAATCATCTCTATAGCCTAAGAATTTGGAAGCTAGAAGCATTTCATCACTTCAGTTTCGCAGGATATAAACAGCGCCATTTGTAAATTGGGAAAGCATCTGATCACACCGATTTTTGGTTTGATTAGATAATGTAAGGGCAGAGGAGATATCTAGAGTCTGATAGACCCCAGATTTCTCAAAAAAAAAAATATATGACAATACCCATTGAAGTTACAGTTGATATTTGCATTCCCTGTTATAGCATTAGAAGTGATCAAAGCAAAAAAAATGAAAGGTACAAATGTAAAAATAATAAAAAAGAATCAAAATAACTATAAAAAAAAAAAAAAAAAAAAAAATCGCCCCTCCCATGTACGCACACCTGCGTGCACAAGCCTTGACCCTGTGCCGGTATGTAAACAGCGGTTGCACCATGCATGTGAGGTATTGCCGTGAATGTCAGATCAAGGGCAGTAATTCTAACACTAGACCTCCTCTGTAAATCTAAAATGGTAGCTTTTAAAGCGCTGCCTATGGATATTAAAAATGTTTGCAGATTGTTGCCATTGCACGGGGCATGCGCAGTTTTAAAGCATGTCATGTCTGGTATCTATTTACTTGGCATACCATTATCTTTTATATTTTATGAAATAATTGACCAATATATTGTGTTTTTGTGCATAAAAAAAGTAAAAAAAGTGTATTTTTTTTTTAAATTTGCATTTGAAAAATCGCTGCATGAGTACTATGTGCCATAAAAAAAATGTAGTACCCACCATTTTATTCACTAGGGTGTCTGCTTTAAAAAAATATATAATGTTTGGGGGTTTTAATTTCCTAGCAAAAAATACTGATTTGTTTCATGTGAACAAAAAGTGTCAGAATAGGCTTGGTCTTCAGGTGGTTAGAAGAGTGAGTGATGTGTGGCATAAACTTCTAATGCTGGGCATAAAACACCCCCACCCCCCCCAAAACGACCCCTTTTTGGAAAGTAGACACCCCAAACTATTTGCTGAGAGGTATGTTGAATCAATAGAAGAATTTATTTTTTTACCACAAGTTTCTGAAAAATGACAAAAAATATATATATATATATTTTTTTTTTTTTACACAAAATTGTCACTTAAATGATTTACTGCTCACACATGCCATGGGTATATGTGGAATTACTCCCCAAAATACATTTTGCTACTTCTTCCGAGTATGGGGTGGTACCACATGTGAGAGACATTTTGGCAGTCTAGCCAAGCACAGGACCCCAAAATCCAATAAGCAACTTCAGGATTTTTTAAAGGGCTTTATTTCCTCATTACACTTCCAGACTACCTATCACAGTTTTGGAGGCCCTGAAATGCCAGGATAGCACCTAACCCCTCCAAATGACCCCTTTTTGGAAAGTAGACACTCCAAGGAATTTTATAAAAAGCACGGTAAGTATTTTGCAGATCTCATTTGTTGCCACAAGTTTTTGGAAAATGAAGAAAAAAAACAAAAAACATATTTTTTCTATTCTTTTTTTATATTTCAAAACCTTGTGAGAAAAAAAGAGATCTGCAAAATACTCACTATGCCTCTTTCTAATTTCCTTGGGGTGTCTACTTTCCAGAAAGGGGTCATTTGGGGGGGGGGGGGGGGGGTCGGTGCTATCCTGGCATGTTTGGGCCTTTGAAACTGTGATAGGTAGTGAGGAAGTGTAATGAGGAAGTTACGCACCTTCAGGCTTTCAAAGTGGTCATTGGATTTCAGGCTCCTGTATGTGGTTAGGATCCCAAAAAGTCTCACATACGTGGTATTCCCATACTCGTTGGAAGTAGCAGAATGTATTTTGGGGTGTAATTCCACATATACCCATGGCTTGTGCGAGAAATAAATCATTTAAATGACAACTTTGTGTAAAAAAAAAAAAAAGTTTTGTCATTTGAAACTTGTGAAAAAAAATCTTACATTCAATTTTCTTCAAAATGACTTCCAAAATCATTTCTTTGTATTTTTTGCACCTCAAAAAGTAAAAATTTTGTAGTTTTATAACTTTCACACAAAGCAATCAATATACACTTATTGGGAATTTTTTTCAATCGAAAACATGTAGCAGAATACATTTTGGCCTAAATTTATGACGAAATTTTTAGTTTTTTTTGGACATTTTTTATGACCGAAATGAGAAAATATTGTTTTTTTCTTCAAAATTGTTTTTTTTCTTCAAAATTTTTCTGGTTATAGCACCAAAAATAAAAGGTGCTCAGGTGATCAAATACCACCAAAAGAAATCTCTATTTGTGTAAAAAAAAAAGACATAAATTTCATTTATGTACCATATTGCATCGCCGCGCAATTGTCCGTTAAACTAGCGTAGCGCTGTATAGCAAAAAAATGGCTCAAATTGCAGTATCTATACCATAGTTTGTAGATGCTATAACTTTCACACAAAGCAATCAATATACACTTATTGGGATTTTTTTTTTTTTTACCAAAAACATGTAGCAGAATACATTTTAGCCTAAATTTATAACTAACTTTGAGTTTACTATATATTTTTTATAGCTGAAAGTAAAAAAATATAGTTTTTGTACAAAATTTTTGGTCTTTTCTTGTTTATAGCGTGAAAAATAAAAAGCGCACAGGTGATCAAAATTACCACCGAAAGAAAGCTCTATTTTTGTGAAAAAAAGGACTTAAATTTTGTTTGGGTGCAGCATTGCATGACCGCGCAATTATCAGTTGAATTAGTGCAGCGCCGAGTAGCAAAAAGAGGCCTGGTCATTAAGGGGGGTAAATCCTCAGGAGCTCAAGTGGTTAAACGCTGCATGCTGCATTGCTGTGTCCAGTCTGCACATTATTACATAATATCACACATGTAAAAGAGATCCATCTAAGTAAGCACTTGAGTATGTTCTTGCTTTGCAGTGGCAAAGTGATTTCCTAGTGCTTGTATGTCACCCAGCAATGCACTGTGCCATATGTAGGAGTGAAGATAAAGTACACAGGGATTATGACACCCCTATTAATGAAAATCTTTTACTGTTTTTTTTACTGTTTATAAGACTGAGTAAAACAAAAAGATTTCGATACCACAAGAGGTAATGTCTGAGGCCCAGTGACAGTGGGAAAAAACAATGGTACATAGAAATGCTTGGAATAAGTGCAAGATTGTCTAAGCCGTTAATGCTGACATGATGAGAAAATGGTTTTACCAGTTTTATCTGACATCAGTACTGCTAAAGTTACAATCTACCCTGTTCTACACGGCACATTGGATTTCCATGTCTTTTTCATAAAAGATATGAATTAGTCACTGGCATATGATATTGCTGAGTATAGCACACTTACAGATACGAGTTAATGAGTTTTGTGAATTGACTACCTTATCAAAGCAACAAGAGAACATGCAATATCATTGAAATAATGTCCAGCAACCCCCCAAAATTGACACCAATATGCCACAAGTCCCAATTAAGAAATATTTGTCACATAATATATATATATATATATATATATATATATATATATATATATATATATATATATATATATATCTCTATCATACATATATGCTATATAGCCAAAAGTATTGGGACACCTGCCTTTACACCAGTGTTTCTCAACTCCAGTCCTCATGGACCCCCAACAAGTCATGTTTTCAGGATTTCCCTCAGATGAAACAGCTGTGGTAATTACTAAGGCAGTGAAACTGATCAAATCACCTGTGCAAAATAATGGAAATCCTGAAAACATGACCTGTTGGGGGTCCATGAGGACTGGAGTTGAGAAACACTGCTTTACACGCACATGAATTTTAATGGCATCCCAGTCTTTGTCCATAAAGGCTGTCCGCAAGGTTTAGGAGTGTATCTATGGGGATGTTTGACCATTCTTCCAGAAGTGGATTTGTGAGGTCAGGCACTGATGTCAGACAAGAAGGTCTGGCTCACAGTCTAAACTCTAATTCATCCCAAAGGTGTTTTATCGGGTTGAGGTCAGGACTCTGTGCAGGCCAATCAAGTTCCTCCACCCCAAAATCACTCATCCATGTCTTTATGGACATTGCTTTGTGCACTGGTGTGCAGTCATGTTGGAACAGGAAGGGGTCATCCTCAAACTGTTCCCACAAAGTTGGAAGCATGAAATTGTCCAAAATGTCTTGGTATGCTGACGCCTTAAGAGTTCCTTTCACTGGAACTAAGGGGCCAAGCCCAACCCCTGAAAAACAACCCCACACCATAATCCCCCTCCACCAAACTTTACACGTGGCACAATGAGGTCAGGCAAGTACCGTTCTCTTGGCAACCACCAAACCCAGACATGTCCATCCATGAAAACCCAATCCATGAAGCTCTCTATGCACTGTTGTTGTGCTAATCTGAAGGCCACATGAAGTTTGGAGGTCTTTAGCTATTGACTCTGCAGACAGTTTGCAACATCTGCGCACTGTGCGCTTCAGCATGTGCTGACACCGCTCTGTCATTTTATGTGGCCTACCCCTTTTTTCCTGAGTTGCTATTGTTCCCAGCTGCTTCCACTTTGTTATAATACCACTAACAGTTGACCACGGAATATTTAGTAGCAAGGAAATTTCACATATGGACTTATTGCACACGTGGTAACTTGTCACGGTATCACGCTTTAATCCACTGAGCTCCTGAGAGCAACCTATTCTTTCACAAATGTTTGTAGAAGCAGTCTGTATGTCTAGGTGCTTGATTTTATACACCTGTGGCCATGGAGGTGATTGGAACACCTGAATCCAATGATTTGGAGGGGTGTCCAATACTTTTGGCAATATAGTGTATATACTGTACATTGCTCAAAAAAATTAAAGGAACACTTTGAAAACACATCAGATCTCAATGGGGAAAAATATCATGCTGGATATCTATACTGATATGGACTGGGTAATGTGTTAGGAATGCAAGGATGCCCCATCGTTTGATGGAAATGAAAATTATAAACCTATAGAGGACTGAATTCAAAGACACCCCGAAAATCAGAAAAACCCTGAAAAATGAAAAAATTATGCAACAAGCTAGTCCGTTTTGTTGAAATTTCATTGCAGCAACTCAAAATGGTACTCAGTAGTTTGTATGGCCCCCACATTCTTGTATGCGTGCCTGACAACATCGGGGCATGCTCCTAATGAGACGACGTATGGTGTGTCCTGGGGTATTTCCTCCCAGATGTGGACCAGGGCATCACTGAGCTCCTGGACAGTCTGAGGTGCAACCTAGCGGTGTCGGATGGACCAAAACATGATATCCCAGAAGTGTTCTGTTGGATTTAGCTCAGGCAAGCATGGGGGCCATTCAATTGCATCAATTCCTTCATCCTCCAAGAACTGCCTGCATACTCTTGCCACATGAGGCCGGGCATTTTCGTGCACCAGGAGGAACCCAGGACCCACTGCACCAGCGTAGGGTCTGACAATGGGTCCAAGGATTTCATTACGATACCTAATGGCAGTCAGGGTGCCATTGTCTAGCCCAGGGGTGGGCAAACTTTTTGACTTGAGGGCAGCAATGGGTTCATATATTGGACCCGGGGGCCGGACCAAGAGTAGATGAATGATGTGTATGTGTCATCCATAGTAAGTATAGTAATATTCCCCCATACTAAGCATAGTAATTAATCCCCCATATAGTAATTCATCCCCATCATAGTAATTCATCCCCCATACAGTAATTCATCCCCCATAGTAATTCATCCCCCATATAGTAATTCATCCCCCATAGTAATTCATCCCCCATATAGTAATTCATCCCCCATATAGTAATTCATCCCCCATAGTAATTCATCCCCCATATAGTAATTCATCCCCATAGTAATTCATCCCCCATATAGTAATTCATCCCCCATATAGTAATTCATCCCCCCTATAGTAAGTCCCCCCTGTGTCAATTTACTTACCTTTGCTCCGCGCGTTCCTCTCGCCATGTTCCCGCGCCGTTCCGGTCTTAAGGGCGGACTGTGAGAGGAGCCTAGCTCCCCTCACGTTCGTCACGCTGCCCCGCCTACACACATCCTGACAGCCAATGTATCATGCTCCACGGGCCGGATTAAAAGGTCCGCCAGGCCGTATACGGCCCGCGGGCCGTAGTTTGCCCATTGCTGGTCTAGCCTGTAGAGATCTGTGTGTCCCTCCATGGATATACCTCCCCAAACCATCACTGACCCACCAACAAAATGGCCATGTTGAACGATGTTACAGGCAGTGTAATTCTGGTGTTCAATGGCAAATGCCAATCGAGCTCTTTGGTGCTGGGCAGTGAGCACAGGGCCCACTAGAGGACGTCAGACCCTCAGACCACCCTCATGAAATTTGTTTCTGATTGTTTGGTCAGAGACATTCACACCAGTGGCCTGCTGGAGGTCATTTTGTAGGGTTCTGGCAGTGCTCATCTTGTTCCGCCTTGCACAAAGGAGCAGATACCATTCTTGCTGATGGGTTAAGGACCCTCTACGGCCCTGTCCAGCTCTCCTAGAGTAACTGCCTGTCTCCAGGAATCTCCTCCATGCTCTTGAGACCTTCTGGCAATGGCACCTACTGATGTGCCACCCTGGAGGAGTTCCACTACCTGTGCAACCTCTGTAGGGTCCAGGTAATGCTTCATGCTACCAGTAGTGACATTGACCCTAGTCAAATGCAAAACTAGTGTCAGTGTAATGTCAGTGGCCTTCACCTGTAAAACCACTCCTGTTTTGGGGGTCATCTCATTATTGTCCATCTAGTGCAGCTGTTGTTAATTTCATTAACACCAAAGCAACTGAAACTGACTAACAACCCCATCTGCTACCTAACCGACCAGATCAATATCCCCGGAGTTTAATTGACTTGATGCTATAATCTGATTAAAAAGTCTTCCTTTAATTTTTTGGAGCAGTGTATATCTATCTATCTATCTATCTATATATCTATCAGTACGGTATATCATACTATAGAGAGCCATTCTTTTCTGTTGATCATCAAGGTTTTTGGTTGGTTGGCCTTCTTGCTTTTTTAACCTTCCTGCAATATTTGCGTGATTAGTAATCAGACTGTATTATTTAAATTAAACATATATTTCTGTTTTCAAACAGTTCAGAATGAACTCAGAATTCCTAAGCAGTAAAAGTATTTACTTTAGAACATGTGTATGTATTTTGAAGTCCTTTCATATATATTGCATACATTTCCTATGTTTTTCCTATACGCTGGTAGCAGAGGGTTAAATAAAGCAGTAATTTTAGAAAGGTTGTCCCTTGCGACTAAGCTCCATTTCATAGCCTGGTGCTCAGTTACAGCAGCTGTATCTGGATAACATGACCTAGTGCCTCATATATCGATGACGTACAAAGAAATGTGTCTAAATCAGGCGTAAGCATCAGAGAGGGGGTAGAGACACCTAATCAGGGATGTTACTGGTGAGAAAAGGATGTGTACTGAGGCCCTTGTGTTCTGAGAACAGGATTTTTTTTTTTCTACATTGTCAGCAGTTGGTTTGACACAAATAAAAAAACAAGTGATGTTTCCACTCCAGTGTCTGTCAGATCTATGCATGTTTAAACACTGCAATACTAGCCAAGAAATGACATACTAAATTGTGTCTGTGCTACTGAGACTAAAAATGGACAAACAATAAAATGATCTTTACAGTGAGAATAAATCACTTCTGTACATTTCCCTTATACATTACAAGGATGGTTGCAAATTTAATTGCACTTTTTTTACCTCCTATTCTATAGGTACTGAGGCCAGTCTGCCCAATGTACTTCCCCAGTGAGTGCTAAATGGGAGAGCTTACCTGTGATAAGCACTCGATCAGTTTCAGGGTTGTAAAAAAAAGAAAAAATATATCCTTGCCATTCCTTTACAATTCTTGATAAGGCTTACTACAGCAAATCTAAGGATGGTACCTTAAACTTTACATTCTTCTACGTGTAGATATTTGGGAAAAGCATTGTAATCATTGGATAGTTGAGAATGCTGCGCACAATTCACAGATGCCATGTTTGCAAGAAAGCAATATTTGTTTTGTTTTTTTTGTTTGCAGTTTTATAAAATCAAAGCTAGATGAAATGATAAGTTCTGACTTATCAAACAATGCTAACAACTTACAAAGCCATCCACAACTCGGCCCCAGATACATCACTAAGCTAGTCTCAAAATACCAGCCAAATCACTCTCTTAAGTCCTCCCAAGACCTCCTGTTCTCTCGTTCCCTCGTCACCTCCTCCTATGCTTGCCACCAGGATATCTCCTGAGCCGTTCTCATCCTATGGATTTCCCTACCCCAATCTGTCCGACTATCTCCTACTCTGTCCACTTTTAGGCGATCCCTGAAAACTTTCTTCAGAAAAGCCTATCTTGCCTCCACCTAATAACTGTACTTTTATTTTCTCCATCAGCTCATCTCTCACAGTTATTACCTGTTGTATCACTTGACCCTCCCCTTTTAGATTGTAAGCTCTAACCAGCAGGGCCCTCTGAATTCTCCTGTATTGAATTGTATTGTAACTGTACAATTTACCCTCACATTGTAAAGAGCTGCTCAAACTGTTGACGCTGTATAAATCCTGCCTGACAATGATAACTTATATTGCTGCACACTTGTTCTGGGTAAGTAACTCAAGGTATTGTGTAAAATTAGATCAAATGGGGCGCCACACCAAACCTAAACATGAAAAAAGGGACACAGCTCTTTACAATGTAAAATACTCGTGTCCAAAAAACATTTTCTTTTTAAAAAGGCGCTCACCCCATTAAAAATAAATTCATTCCCAAACCATGGAAAACACAAATACATCAAAGTGCTAATATCGTTAAATGATAATCAAAACATGATTTAAATAATTTCCAATATATAAATTCTTAAATTAAAGAGTGTCCATAAATAAAAGTCCATCTACTGATTTTTCATCCACTTATGTGCCCAACACCCACTTGTCGCTGATTCACCACCAGGTGTATTAAAATGAAATGCTTACCAGATCCATAATAATTCATACATATTCCATAAGCAATGAGGAAGCAGACACCACCAGGGTCTCCATTTCGGATAAACAAGTATGAGAATACACACACTCAAGAAATAAAAATGCTTCCCATAGTGTAGTAAGTTTTATGAAATTCAAAAAGGTTAAAGGATAAAAATACACTCACATTTAAAAGTGCCACTCCCGTCACTTGCACAGCGCACAATTGTGGCTAAGTTTCCAAGCAATGCCGCACTGACAGGTCCAACAAGGGCCCTATTAGGAGGTTTGCACCCATTTATCAACAAGTAGTCAATAATATTATTTGGATGTTTTTATAGGCATTGATTATTTGATATTATATACATTTTTTCAAATTATTTATTACTTATTTTCATTTTTTGTCATCCATCCCTGGGTCTTGAGGACCTGTGGTTTTGGACAAGTGTATTTGTTTTTTTTTTTATGTAAGTTTTAAATGTATGATGTAGGTTTAATGTAAGTGTTTTTCGGCAATCCAAGACACTTTGAAGAGGCATTTATGGTGACCATTGCAAGAGGGGGTGAATTAGAGTAAAGGGTTAATTGATCAGTACTATCCTCCGGTCTGAGGGTATAGACGGATATTCTAAAAAGGCACCGGCTGAGCTTCCTGATGACACCATTCCGTGAATTGCACTGAGGCCTGGCCATTGTTGTCATATCCGATCCCTGAATATGTCAATTCTGGTAACTTGGTTT